CGGGGACCCACCACTCTGACCCGACAGCTGGGCGGCCGGGCTCACAGTGCATACTTGTCCACAGAGCGAGTGTTCGCAGTGATGGAGGTGATTCTGAGGTTGTCCCTGTAGTGCGGGGGCCGCTGTTACGTGGCCGCCGGAGGGACTCTCACCCTCATTGTAGAGGGAGTTGCGCTTAAGTCTGGCCGTGGTGGCCAGCTGCATGCTCACTCGTCTCCCCGTGTCCTCTCCCACAGGTTGTGGATTCCCAGCTGGTGTGCATGATGAACGAAAACAGCATCGATTACATATCCCGGTTCAACGATCTGGCCCAAGAGCTGTCCATCGCTGAGCCTGGCCGCCGAGAGGTTCTGTTTGATGGCGGTGGAGGTGGCCCCCCGGTCGGTGACCTGTCCCAGTGACTGTGCCTCATGGCTGGGGCAGCCCGGAGGCTGCAGAGGACAGCTTACGGGGTTGGTGGTCCTCGAGCATCATAGGGGTAGCCCTCTTTAGAAGAGAGAAAACATAAATCAAGCCTGGACTCCCAGGAGACAGTCTGAACAGAGGCACCTCTGCACCCAGAACGTGCAACGTGCACACAGCCATGTCCCAGCAGGCCGAGGCAGTGGTGGCCAGGCGATGAGGGAGCGTCCTCGGCAAGGCCAGTGTCAGATGTGGCCCTGGCGTCGGACCCACCCCCTGCCAGGAGCATGTGTTAGGGTCTGCATGGTACCCACGCTTCTGCCTCGGTCATTGTGTCAGACGTTTCAGGGTGTTTTCTTTCTGAGAGAAGAGAGTGGTGGGCCTGGCTGTCGTCGTTATGGCCTGGGAGCTGTGACCTCCTGCTCTCTGCAGGGAGGCTCCAGGGCATTGCTGCCTTCTTTGCGCCAAACCCACTCCCTGCTTCAGTTTTTCCCTCTGCAATGCGAGGACGAGGAGGACAGCTGGGCATGACCTGAGACAGCGGGCACTGCAGAGGACACTCCAATCATGGGGCAGTGGGAGGGTCCCAGGTCAGTGCAACTGGTGCCACCTCCCCAGAAATCCTGACCATGGCCTAGTGCTTCCTCATCTGGAGCTTTTGTTCTGACTGACTCAACAGGAAGGGGGAAAAGAATCATGTCTTATGCGGGTTGTGTGGACTTTTTAAAAAATCCCGCTAAGCTGGTCAGAAAATGCTTTTCTCGTATTTTGAGAATTAGGAGACATTGGAGAGGAAGAACAGGGTTCCTGTTTGGTTGGTTTCTTCCCCGCGTCTATCTGCACACTTCTTCTCGGTGACCTGAGATGTTATTTCTCTCTATTAGGGTGATCCCCAAGCGCTCATTTGACTACAGATAAGACTTTCCTGATGATCTTGAACTTCTGACATGTTTCTGCCTAGCATTTTGGACAGATGCCATTTGCAGGGAAAGTTCTCTCTTCCTTTCCTTGGCATCAGTGCAGAGTATGCCCCAATGCATATGTCTAATCCCTTGCTTGTATTTCTGCCTCATGGTCTCCTGTTTCTCTTCCTCCTGTTCAGGGAATCCAGGCAAGGGTCAGACATCACGCGCAGTCAGGGTGCACTGAAACCACATCCCTCTGGTGTGCTCCTTGAGCCTCCTCGGATGACCAGCCGTCACCATCTCGGGTAGTGCAACATCCAGTCTTTCCCCAGAATGGAGTTAACACAGCTCCTCTGCCTTCTCAGCCTTGCGGGGCCAAACACACAAACCACCATCCAGGCACACCTATGTGGCTGGGCACCAGTGCTGTGGTGTTGGGGCACCACCCCACCTGCTGCTTACCCCTGCCCGGCAGCTGCAGTCAGTGTGGCTTCTTGAATCCGCCCCAGCCCACTACTGTTAGTGTTCATCACCTTGCCTCTCTCCCAGCTCACTGTGGACTGGCAGCCTTCGAGGCCAGCTGGGCCTCTCCTGTGGTTCCTCCCCCTGCCCGCCCCCCCCCCCCCCCGCCCCCCGCGAAGAGATGAGCCAGTGTGCAAGGAGAGGGGAAGGTCCTTCGCGAGTACAAACAGAAGGGCCGCTCTTGATCCTGCCGCCTCCCCAGCGTGGTCAGCTGCTCCAGGCTGCAGGCCGGGTTGTCCCCTCCAAGCTGCAGAGGAAGCGGGACAGTGGCTTCCAGGCGATAGCTTCCTTCCTTCCTCTCCAGCTTTCCTCAGAGCTCTTGCCTGTCATGTGGCCTCCCTCTTTCAGATCTGGATTTAGGCACAAACATCACTAAGAAAAGCCTGTGTGGGCAGCCCTCCTGGGCTCTTGAAAAAACAGTCCCAAAGCTCTGGAGGTCTGAAAGAAAGGGATGTGGTACCACTTTAAGAGAGATAGACAGCAGTATTTGAGTCCAGAGTCTCTTTAAACTAGCTTGTGTTTTGTGATCAATGTATCAGCTTCCTGAAATTAGCACCTTATTGAGCCAAACAAGATCAGTAGGTCTGTCTCTGGGCATCCGACCCGGTTAGATCCACAGTGGATCAGGCCAAGGTTAGGCCACTGCCAGCTTTCTTGTATTCCCACTGTCTGGGACCAGAGATGCCAAGTAGCATTACTGCATCAATGCGGGGGGCAGTGCCCAGTGGCAGTGGGCACTGTGCCAGGGACAGTAGCGATCCCGAGCTGCTTATCCATCAGGGGACACCCCACAGTAGTCTGGTCGGTAGGTTGGCACCTGTCACCTGGTGGACGTCCAGCAGGAGGAAAACTCTGTAGATCTGGATAAGACTTTGTCGGCCGTTTATTCAGCAGCATGTCCCTCTTGGGTCTCCCACACAGACTCCATTTGGGAGTAGCTGACTGCCCAGTGTCATCCAGTGGGGAGGTGAGTTGCGGAGGAGAGTGGACTGACTCTTCTCAAACCTTTAATAAAGCTGACATGATTTCAGAGAACCCTGCTTCTCTAGCAACCAGACAGGTATAAGCATTTGCCTGCCATATTAAGGAAAAATGGTGTCATCTGTAGCATTAAAATGATGGATGCCTTTTCTCCCAACCTAAATGATTATATATGTATGAAAATAAGCAACTGTTATGTTAAAGCCTGGAATTTTTCAAAAGACCCAAGCAGAGACACCTCCCACTTCTGCGTCTCCCTCTGCCTTTCCAGCGGAAGTTGTGATAGTGTCAGTATACACCTGTGGCTTCCTCTGTGCATTTGAGCATGTTGTGATTAAGACCAGGTCAGTTTCTCAGAAAAATCTTCCCCTAGTCACTCTAACGTTGTTAGGGATCTTTTTGCTGATTCATCTCTTCTAAAGATTGAGACTGAATATCTTCGGTCTCAAGGGAGTTGTTTTTGCCTTGATTCTTCATTGTGAATATCCAGTGATGAGCATTCCATTCTTCAGAAGGTGCAGAGGCAAGTTGAAGTTCGTGATTCCACATAAGGTTCGTGATGGCATTTTTCTCATCCCTCTGTGTCTTCTGGGCGTAGGGTACTTGCTCAGGGAGTGGGGGTATTTGGAACCATTTCATCGGTTCATCCACTTGCTTTCCCACCTCAGTCCCATTCTCTAGCATTCTGTACCATAGCCTCATTACTGGTGGTGTCTTTTCAGTTTAATAGCATCTTTAACTAGATCACACCATTGAATCCAAACATGTACAAAGAACAGTCATAGAATAAAAGACACTTGAAACAAGTGGAGGAGGAAAACAGCAGTTGCTTTTTCTTTTAACATTGAGATCTATCAGATGCATTTAGGAGGTAATATGGCACTTTGTCTTAAGAAAAAAAAGAAAGAAACCCACAGCAAACCTTTCCTGACTTGTCAAAACTCTCTTAATCCTACAGTAACTTGTAAGTCGTGTTAGGTGAGGTAAGTCTTGGAAGCACTACAGTAGCCCATGCCCTTTGTTCTGTAACAGGATAACCGGCTCTAGAGCTTCTGGGCAGCAGAACTTATTGCTGTTTTTTATAATAATCGTTAAGCCATATCATCTAAGGTTTTCGGCTTGAGATGTGAATTTGTTTTATAGATTATAAATATACATATACAGTGTATGTATAAAGCAGAATGCCTGTCCTTCCTGATTATTTTTTGTACCATATTGTAAATTATATTATTTATTCTTTATCAATTTGGGGAATAAAAGGTGTTTGGTTATTTAATATAATAAACAAAAGCTGTTAAACTTCTTATGTTTAAATTTCCAGTTCAACTTGTAAATCTGTTTTTATTATTGTGCATAAATACATACTAATACTTGATCTAATAATTACTGTTTCTGCTTTTTTCTTTTTAAGTGTGCACTTTGCAAACAGCCCAAGTGGCTCTCATCTGGTGAGATCTCAGAGGAATCGATGGGCTGTCCACAGTGTAACTGAGCAACAATACAATGCTGAATGTGTTTTGTTTTTTTGAGCTAGAAATCAGACAGCTGGCATAGTTTATCCCTTGCTTCCCATTTCTGAGTTAGTGTTCTTGCCCCCACGATGTGCAGGACAGAGGAACTGCGATTGCAGTTTCCTTTGGCCACGTATCGACGTGCCATTGACTGGCTGGCGAAAACCAAGCGTCTCCGGACAGGCTGGACCCAGCTCGGTGCTGCTTGGTGCCGGCACGGCAGACCCGGGAGGCGGGCGGGAGGCCCCCGCGGGGCTGCGGGGAGTTTCGGCCAGGTGCCCGGATAGTGCCCGACCCCGCCCACCTCGGGAGAGTGGGGAGGGACAGTCCCCCGCCGGGTTACTGCCCAATGGCGGCGCCCGGCGCCGTGAGCGGTACCTGTTCTCACCAATCGGCCGCGAGCGCGGCGCAGGGCTCACCAAGCTTCCGTCTCGTGGGGCGGAGTTCGACACCACGATAGGCTGATGCAGCTTGACTGGTGTCGGCGGCGCCCAATAAGAGCGAGAAGGCGGGCCTCGGGTCGCGCGGGGCCGAGCGGGAAGGACGGCGAGGCGGCCGGGAGGCTCCGAGTGGCGGCCGACATGTTCCGGGCGCCGGAGAGTAAGGGAGACCGGGCCGGCTCCAGGTGCGGCGCGGGCGCAGCCACGGTCACGTAGGATGCGCGGGGGCGGCGGGGCGGCCGCGGTGAGCTCACAGAGCCGGGGCCTCCGGGGCCGGGTCGGGGAGGTAGGCGCGCCCGCGGGACCCGGAGGCCTGAGCGCGCCTCCCCGCGCGTCCGGTCCCAGCACGTGCTCCTTCATTGACGAGCGCGCCGGAGATGCTGGCCGAGCCGTCTGCTGCGGGGGGGGCGGGCGTGGCGGCGCTGCTGGGATTCTGGGGCCCTGCGGCGTGTGCGCGAGTGGATGGGCCTCGGGGCAAAGTCTCGTCCCGGGAGCCCTCAGCACTGCCGCAGCCCGAGAGCCAGGCGGCGCCCTCCCCCACTTTACTGACAAGGAAACAGGCGGGACAGCAAGTGATAGAAGGAGTTTCGACTGGGTTTAAACACTCAGGAACACATAGCAGCGCGCTTGCTTTCTTTTTAGCTTGTAGAGCAATGGGTATTGGGAGTCAAATAGAGTCGCCAGAGCTAGCAGTGTCCTGCCGCTGGAGGAGCCAGCTTGCGTTGTCCAGCTGGTTCTTAAGCTGCCTAAGAGTTTTCTTTATTGTGAGCCTTTTCTGTGACCCAGCCCCACAATAAAAGCAGAAGAGTGTGACGTCTGTTGAGGTAAACAGTATATAAAATTAAAGAATTGTTTCGAGTGATAAAATCCCTGTAAATTTGAGGGAGTTAGGTCAGTATTCAGTAATACTCCTACCCAAATAATGAGTCCTTATCCCACGTAACAGTGACTATTAATCACTCTCGTCTAGATCTGTGCTGATATGGGGCCAGAAGTATATCCTGGAGTGCTCAGAATGAGTCAGGTTTCTGGTGCCTGAAAGCTGCTGTTCTGCACCACCCACACCAGCTGGGCAAGGGCTGCTTCCCAGCACTTTCTCCGTTGTGTCCACTAAGTACACTCTTTGTTTACACAGCCTGGCACTGGATGCCTAGCAAACATTGGTCCAGTTAGCGAATAAGCACTGTGAGGAACGCTGATGTGAGGCTGACTTCCAAGCTGTAGGCGACAGTGCAGAGCTGGTGTTCTAAACTGATACCCACATTTCTTTGGGGCATTAGTTTTTGGAGAGGATAAGGAGAAAATTCTTCCTTTTAGGATGTTGGAGAAGGAAAACCCATCTTAATTGGATGATCGATTGGAAGCTCCTGCTTGGGATCAGTTAGCAGCTTTGTCTTAGAGGAATTGACTAGCTCGACAGGCCTTTTTACTTAGCTGTGAAGGGAATCAAGTGGTGGCTGTAAGATTACTGGGCCAGGTTTTCCTCTCTTAAAACCCTACTTTTGTTTTCTTGCTGAAGGATTATCTGGTGTTAAAGGGATTTTGAACTATAAAAGCATTATGCTTTAGCCATCATTAATCTGAGGTCTTTTAAGCTGCAGGATGTATATTTGTAAAGAATTTAATCTAGGTCTATTTTGCAGCTTCACTCCAAACCTGGCAGGTCCCCCATAGCTTTTCTGGGATACAGGAATAAGCTGTTGGAAGGGGGGTCACACGCATGGATCCCTCCAGGTGAGCGTCGATGTGGCCTCTGCTGTTTCTGTGGTCCACTTGAGCTGTGTGTATTTTCTTATCACGTGCCCCTTAGTTTCTGTTTTGTACTTGGAATGTCTTCATTGAAATGTATCCAAGGGGTACTGAAAAAGGAAGCCATAACTGGGAGGCATCCCCATGTAGTGAGGTCATCCCCAAGACGTCTGAGCTACTGGTATTCCCATCCCCCTCCTGTAATTAGGGTTGAAGTGATACCTGCACTTGATAGTGAGCCTGTGAGGGCCGCCTTGAGCCATTGTTGGAGCTTCTGTTTTTATGGAAATGTCTATTTAACTCTCAGTCCGGTTTATTCGAGACCCAGCTTGTGTGATTTGCTTGACGCTTGTGTGATTTGCTTGACTGCTGCAAGGCTGTGCGACCCTAGTGCCACCCCATAGCTTTTGTGGTGGAGACGCTTGCCACCTCTTCGCAGGAAACTTGGCCATTGTGTACGATAATCTCTCTGCTACAACATTCTTGGGCACCACTTTCCTTCCCTTCTTTTCAAAGTAAAGTAAAATAAAATTCAGAAAAGTACACAATATAATAACATATTTCCACCACCCCAAATTAACATTTGGCAGTTTCAAATAAATATTGCTTACCTCCTGTGCTGCAGTGGTTCTCTTTCCTCATGGAGACTGCAGACACAATTTGAGCCTTACCTACTCCAAAGGTGTCTTTGGAGTTCCAGTGACACTCAGTGCCTCTGTGGCATCACTCATGCAGAACATGGAAACTGCCTCTGCACAGCTCTAGCCTTCGCAGAAAGCGGGGAGCTTCTCCAGGCCCAGGACTTGCTCTTGCTTGTCTTTCCATCCACAGGGTCTGGTGCAGGCCCACCCGTGGTAGGTGCTTAGGGAACGTGCAAGTTAGAGTGAAGCAAGCGGTGGAGGCCAGGGAGAGGCGTGTATCCAGGGATGTGGAATGTGAGAGGAGAGAGTGCTGGGGAGCCTACCCCACATCTGGTCTGACAATTTGAGGGTTTGAAAGAAAAGCTGTGTTGCAAGTAAGTCAGTAAAATAGGAATTTTAATTCATGCCAGTATGAGACTTGATGTTAAGTTCAGTACAGTTCTGAGGATGGCAGATCTCAGAGACCCAAGCCTGTTGGACCTGCTTGAAAATATGCCAAGAAAAATCAGGAATGTCATTGTGTTGGGGCTGTGAGATTTATAATGGGTGTGGGAGTCGGATGGCCTCGGGTGTCCCCCACCAGAGGGCCTGACGTGAGGTCTTACTACTGCCTTTCTAATTTAAGTCTGGTTATTGGTCATTTTTTTAAAAAAGGTTTTTTCCCTTAAACCGAGTAATTTTTTTCTTTATCAAATCCTTAAGGAAATGCTAACTGCTGGACAGGCATCCCTGGCCCCTTCCTTCAAGCTGATGTGACTGAACCCATGTGGAAGGCTGGCCCACTGCGCACTCGGCTTGGGTGGCGGCTTGGGTGGTGGCGAGCAGCCTGCCTGCGGTCTCCGTCCCAGTGAGCAGGCACACTGGTGGCCCTCGGAGCAGACGAGCACTTTCTGCTGTCCTGCTTTACAGCCAGAGAGCAGAAAACTCTGTTCCCTTTAAATTACAACGAATGATCAGCTCCCTTTCTAGCTCTGTTGAGGAAACAGCATGTTAAACATCCTATTCTTCTAGTGTCTGCATCGCTTTTGTGTGGCGAGCTCCGCAGTTTCACTTTCTAAATGTCTGGGGTCACAGGCAGTCCTCTTGCTTAGGACTGGTGAAAGAGCAGGGGCCACTCAGCAGTTTAAAACTCTGCTTTAAAATACGTTTGAAAATCTAGGTGTCCTGGGACTTTCCTGGCGGTCCAGTGGTTAGGCCTCCACGCTTTCACTGCAGGCAGCACAGGTTCCATCCCTGGTGGGAGAGCTAAGATCCTGCAGTGTGGCCATAGGTTTCCTGTAAAGATGCATATGAATTCAGTGTTATGCTGCCCTGCTGAAGGAGACCGATGCTCTTGGGGTGTCAGGGAAGAGCTTTATGAAATTTTCTTAATTCTTCAGTTATTGCAATAAAAAGTGACTCAAGGTCCTGCTCATCCACTTCTGAAATACCCAGCCTCCAAGTGCATGGCAGATTCCCAAAGATCGAGACCACAGTAGATTCGGCTGGTGGTGACTGAGTGTGGGAATAGCACTGATCTCTGTGGGTGTTTAATTAAAATCCACACTTGAAGGATGCCAGTGTGTGCTGGGGTGACACTCTGCACATGTGTTGATCTAAAGTGAACAGTGGTCCAGCTGGTGTGTTCTGATCTGTCTGATGTTTAACTTGTCATTGGTGGTACCAGACCTTGGGACTGGAAATCATCAGCCTGGTGTAGATTCCCAAGACTCTCGTGGGTTAGTGGGGGTGGTGCTCCCCATGGTCTGAGCTGACACTTTCCATTAGAAATGTGAGCCACATAAGGAATTTTAAATTTTCTAGTAGCCACACTTTAAAAAGTAAAAAGATTCAGGAAAAATTAAGTTTAATAGATATTATTCAACTTAATATGTACAAAACATTATTTCAACATGTGATCAATGTAAAAGATACAATTAAAGAGATATTTTTGCCTTTTCTTCTTTGTGCTGAGTCTTCAAAGTCTGGTGTGTAATCTATACCTACAGCACATCAGAGCTCAGACCCCCATGTCCAAGTGCCCACTGGCCACAGTGGCCAGTGGCTGCCCTTTTGAGGACGCAGCTCTCTGGGTCAAGCTTACTCTGGGTAAGTGGTGCACTGCCCCGTCGTTTCTTTCTAGAGGATGTTGAGGATTATTAGGGTGTAGTCTGAGCTCTGCAGCCAGACTGTCTGCGTCTGAGTCCTGGCTCTGCTACTTCCTGTGTGGCCCTCTCTTTAGCTCACACTCATCTCTGTGAAAATCATGCCTGCCTTAGAGGGTGGCCGTGTCAGTTCTTTGGAACAGGAGCTAGCGTGTATAAACGCTGAGGGAGTGTGAGCTACAACACCCAGCACTATTGTCTGCTAATTAAAGTGACTATTAAATTCTACTGAACTGGCTCAGTTTGCCTGTTTTATGGAAACTTTAATTTTACTAATGAGAGGTCACAGGAGTAACTTCAGAGTATGCACATCTCTGGAGGTCTTGGCATAATCAAGATGTGCAGAGAAAACCTTTAAGGGAACTCAAGGGCAAGGAGGGAGGTTTGCCGGCTGGCCAACGGCCATGAGCTTGTCGTGCCACGGTGTGTAGTTTTCCCACAGATGTCTGCCCTGTCTGGCTGTGCCACAGCCCCTGGATGGTGGCGCCCGGGCCATCTGTCGGTCCCTCACACCCTGTCTGCTTGCAGGGCCATGAAGCCCCCGGGAGGAGAGCCGAGTGATCGTCCAGAAGAAGCCGCATCTCCACGCAGGCCCGACAGGATGGCATCTAATATTTTTGGATCAACTGAAGAACCTCAGAACATACCCAAAAGGACCAATCCCCCTGGTATGGGCTTTTGACTCCTTAACCCTTTGGCCTCTACCTGTTCTCTTTTGTGCTGCTCTTTTGATAAAAATTTCCCTTTCTTTATATTGATCCTTTCAGATATTTTCTGGTGCAGGTTATCCCCTGCCATCAGAGTCCTAGAGTGGAAGGAAAGTTTTATCCTGACTTGTGCTTTGTGTCCTGAAGGTGGCTCGGTCATTTTGGAACTCCCCCTCATCTGTCACCAGATACTGGCTGTGTACGGGCACTGAGGATACAAAGGCAGATGGTGGGGTTCTGGTTCCCACCACGGAGGCTCCCCAAATTGTCCCATGGACTCCTTGAGATTCTTGAAATTGCATGCAAATTGTGCATTTAGAGTAGTTTTAATCAGATTGTTAGTGGGATTGAAACTAAAAAGGGTGGCTGAGCCTGGCACACATCTGTGTGGCTCCTCACTACTTACCCACCTTCTAGTGGCTCCAGTGGGAGGGAATCTCAGAAGAGTGTTTCTCTTGGCTGATGGACGGTCCAGCTGAGCGACTGCACAGTGATAGTTACCTGAGGAGCTTTCCCCTGTCTGTATCTACGAGGGGAAGACAAGGTTTGTTCCATCCTTAAAGATCTGAGAGACCCAACACAGGAGTCAGAATTTCAGACAAGTAATGAAATCAAGCAGAACCAGAGCTGGAACTGCTCCCTACCCCACCCCAATTCTGGGTACAAATATTGCTTGACAGACCTAGAGGACACACAAAGCAATAGATTCAAAAGCTAGTTTTTTGGTTGGTTGGTTGTTTTCAGTGTTTGGGGTGGGGGGTAAGGAGGGGTGGAGGTTAGTGGTACCTTTGGATTTAGTTATAGCAGAGAAGCAGGTGGTTCTTGCTGAGTAACATTCTCCCCTACCCAGTTTGTGGGGGTGCAGGGCCAGGAGTGCTCAGCCCTGCTCATCCTTTGTACCAACGATGTGATGCGGCAGATAGACTCAGACTGGAGGCACTGGAGGTGGGTGCACCAGCAGCCGTGGCTCTGGCTCGGCACCATGCGCGGCTGCAGCTGTCTCTGGGGCTTCGGGTTCTCTAGACAGTGTGGCAGCGTGGGGCGGCGCTGCTTTGCCAGGCCCTCGGAATCTCATGCTCCCCCGCCCATCTCGTGCCCTGTGGGCAGCCTGGGCCCCTCCTGACTGGAGAGTTAGAAAACCCCTACGTTGTGCACAGTCGCAAGGTATCATGACAGCGACAGGACGCCCTGTGCCAAAATGTCTGCTTCTCATGGTCCTGTTGTTTGGGGTTTGTTTTCTGTCCTGCCAAGTGCTCTGTGCTGATAGTTGAGCATTTAACAAACGCCGGAGTCCCCCCTCTGCCTCCTCCTGTCACCCAAGAACTCTTTCTAACTGATGAATTAAATTACATTTAAAAAAAAAAGAGGAAGGAGGGAAGCAAGGAAAGAAGGAAGAAAATCACCTGTGATGAATTTCAAGGGCAGCCCAGAAGGGAACCTGCTGGTATGTCCAGCCCCGCAGACTCGACCCCGCAGACTCCGGGGAGGGCCTAATGGAGCACGTTCGGAGCAAGGGACTTGCCACTGGCCGTCACTGGAAGTTAACCCAGGCTGGTCGGGTGCCGTGTTTCATCTATGCTTCTGGTTTAGACCTCCTCCTGACAGTGGTGATTGATACGGGTGGGTCATTTGGTGTTTTTCAGGGGCTGTGCTGGGTGCCGGTCTTCTCCACAGCTTGGGGGATAGGTGGCGTTACCCCCTTTACAGAGGAGGAAGCTGAGGCTCGGGGTTCACTGGCCTGCCTGAGTCCACAGCTCGCTGGGGTGGCAGAACTAGCCTTTGGATGCAGGTTTTCCTGACTCCAAAGCCCGTGCTCCCAACTTCCCTCCTGAATATATCAATTGGGGTAAATTTCCTGAAATGGAATTGCTGGGTCAGTTTAAAATGATGGTTCTAGGGCTTCCCTGGTGGCGCAGTGGTTAAGAATCTGCCTGCCGGTGGAGGGGACACAGATTTGATCCCTGGCCCTGGAAGATCCCACATGCCGCAGAGCAACTAAGCCCATGTGTCACAACTACTGAGCCTGCGCTCTAGAGCCCGCGAGCCACAACTACTGAGCCCTCGTGCCACAACTACTAAAGCCTGCGCACCTAGAGCCCGTACTCTACAACAAGAGAAGCCACCGCAATGAGAAGCCCACGCACCGCAACGAAGAGTAGCCCCCGCTCACCGCAGCGAGAGAAAGCCCGCGTGCAGCAACGAAGACCCAACACAGCCAAAAATAAATAATCATAATATAAATAAATAAAATGCTGGTGCTTCCACTGGTCTTCAGACGTGTGCTCCAGGATGTCTGTAGCGCTTGCTCCCCACGCAAGGCGCTGTGCCTTGTGATTTGGTTCTTTAAAAAGCATATCTTGAATTTATTTTTCTTCAATTATGAGTGAATTGAGCATCTTTTCCACCTTCATAGCCGAATTCATCTTTCAGGTAAAATGTTGAATAATAGATGTGCAGTGTGTCTGTTATTTTACTTTTCATAAAATTCAAAAACAGAACTGTGTTGTTTAGGGTTGGACATATACATGGTAAAACTAGAAGAAGTTTGTAGTTTCCAGAAAATTCGGACACAGAACCACACAGGTTTTTGGGAGTTGATAACATTCTGTAAGACGCGTGATTGTCTGTGATCGTTACTTGGGTGTTTGCTTTATTTATATCTTAGGTACTTATCTGTGTCATGTTTCATAGTTTTTAAAATGTTTTTAAATGAGCAGTGCCTTTAACCAAAAACTTGAAATTGAGTTACTTTTATTTTTATCTTGCATTTTAAAATAAGCTGAATGCGATCTTAGAAAGAATTTACTTAAGCATGACCAGCAACAGCGTGGTAACAAGCAGCGAGGGGTGACCTCGGGCAGCAGCTCTTCTCCACTTTGTAGTCCAAACATTTCTTCTGCTGACGACACCCTGTTTGTAACAGCAGCCCAGCAGCATGACTGGGAGCTTCCTCTCCACGCTCTGCTCTGCCCACTCCACGTGTCGACTCACTTATCTCACCAATGACCCCAGCCAGGTGCTGTCACACAGTTGGTTAGCGGCTGAGCAGGATCCCGCCTGGCACTGGGTCCTGACCCCATGCTGTGCCGCCTGCCCCAGCCCGAGGGCTGCGGGTCGCTGGGAGGCTGTGGCTTTGGCTGGAAGGCTTGTGATCGGCCTCAAACGACACGAATGTGTGCATCTTCCTGCAGTCAGTCCCACCCATTCTCTAAGCTTCTCCTGGCCCAGAAAAGCTTCCAGGGCCAGGTTCCCGTCCTTGTGGAGCTGTGCTTTGTGTCCCCCAGACAACCAACCGGCGTCCCGAAAGGCTGGTCAAGTCTGAAGGCTTGCGAGGGGACAAGCGCCCCATGGAGCCTCCTCCTCCTTGGAGCTCCATGCTCCTCTGACGGTGCACTGTCCCGTGTTCTAACAGTATGGGTTATTACAGCCAAGAAGTGCCTGTTTAAAATTGAATTTCCTGGAGACAGTCAACAAAGATCACAACTATAAAAATGAATATGTTTAGCAGTCCTAAGCCCCTGTACCACAGCCACCCCATTTCCTGAGCAGACACATGGCCCCCAGAGGGGAGCACTTAGCAGGGAGGAAAGTGGAGTAACCAATGCCCTTTATTCACATACAGGTGGATAAGAATACCCTTCCTTTTACAGTAAGACGCTGTGTGCTGTCTAGATCGTTTTGTGCCTTTTTCACTGAACAGTGTCCAAGGGAAGCTTCTTTAGCAAATGCTCACTGAGCATTTACGTCCCCAGTGTTGTCGTAAGCATTTGACACACAAGCGACAGTGAGTCACTGAATCCCCTCACAGCGCCGTGAGGAAGGGCCTTGTACCACCGCCGTTCAAAGGGTGAGGAATGTGGGGCGCAGAGGGGCCGAGCAACTTGTGTCTGGTCTCATAGCCATTTGTGGATGCACCTTTCTTCTGTAAGATTATAAATCTTAGTGGGCGCTTGGTGGAAGGGGGGCGCTGGTTGCTGAGTGCAGAGGGGGATGGGCTGGTGGCATGTGCTAGCATCTTCCTGTTTAACGTCAGCATTTACTTCTCATGTCCATGCCTTAGCCATCAGCTTATAAGAACTTACATCTGAGGGCTTCCCTGGTGATGCAGTGGTTGAGAGTCCACCTGCCGATGCAGGGGACACGGGTTCGTGCCCTAGTCCGGAAAGATCCCACATGCCGCGGAGCGGCTAGGCCCGTGAGCCATGGCTGCTGAGCCTGTGCGTCCGCAGCCTGTGCTCCGCAACGGGAGAGACCACAACAGTGAGAGGCCCGCGTACCGCAAAAAAAAAAAGAACTTACATCTGAGATGCATATTTTCATTGTAGCTCATCAAATCATTTCTGTTTGGCAGCAAAGATGTTAAATGTCTGTAATTCAGTGACACATCTAGTTGTCACTGGAAGCTCCAGACAGATTGAGGTGAGGAGAGTAGTCATTCTCAGTAAATGTTGTTTTCCAGATTACAGGTTTGCCTTGAATAGGGCATGTTATTAATTCAATTCTGTCTGTCTGACCTCAAAATTTAGCGGATGTTTGCTTTTTTTTTTTTTTTGTGGTACCTGGGCCTCTCACTGCTGTGGCCTCTCCCGCTGCGGAGCACAGGCTCCGGACGCGCAGGCCCAGCGGCCATGGCTCACGGACCTAGCCCGCTCTGCAGCATGTGGGATCTTCCCGGACCGGGGCATGAACCCATGCCCCCTGCATCGGCAGGCGGACTCTCAACCACTGCGCCACCAGGGAAGCCCCAGGTGTTTGCTTTTAATCTATGAAAGAACTTTTCATGGCTTTAATGTAGAAGATTCTTCAGCAGGAAAACATGAAAAGTTCAGGGTTAAGGAAATTCTAGAGGGGAAAATGCTGTTTTATGCCATCTTACCGTCTCACTCCTAGCGGCAAGCCCGGGACAGCTCAGTAATCGTGAGGAAGGCCCCAGCTGGCCCCCAGAAAGGGGCTGGGTTTGACATGGGTCTTTAGGGATGCTCGTCAACCTGATCACCCCACCCTTCTTGGCCTGAATTCAGGACTGGCACTGCGGTGAGAGGAGGTCTCTGAAGTCACGAGTGTGGAGGGTGGGTGGGGTGGATGTTCCGGGTTGCTAACCATCCTGATTTTTTCTTCAGGGGGGAAAGGAAGTGGTATATTTGACGAATCCATGCCTGTGCAGACTCGACAGCGTCTGAACCCCCCTGGTGGGAAGACCAGTGACATTTTTGGCTCCCCGGTCGCTGCTACTTCACCCATGGCACACCCAAACAAACCCAAGGTATGGACTGCATACAGATAGCAGACATGAGAGTAAGAAAAGCAAAACTTGAGCCAGGTACTCTTAAAAAGGCTCTGAGGAAGGTGTGACATGTTATTAGGAAGAGACAAGATGGGTGACAGTGCTTTTCCTGGCTGTAGTCATTAGTCACCAAGTTTCAGAGCTCTCCTGAGTCATCAGAGGAATGTATTCCAGCCTCGTGATGACTCAAGCCTTGGGGGTCGCTGGTGGTGGGGGCAGCCCACTGCAGGTAGGCCACTGCCCTTCTCTGCACATCATGGATGGATGCTGAGGATATTTGTAATACTGAATGTAAAACAGGGGAGTTCACCTCATAAACATTCCACTATTTTTAGTGGTCATCAATCAATAAGTACAGTAACTGCATCGGATTAAAATTTACCAAATACTTAGAATTTATGGGTTCCTGATAATTTTGTTTTTTTTTTGCGGTACGCGGGTCTCTCACTGTTGTGGCCTCTCCCGTTGTGGAGCACAGGCTGCGGACGCACAGGCTCAGCAGCCATGGCTCACGGGCCCAGCCACTCCACAGCATGTGGGATCTTCCCGGACCGGAGCACGAACCCGTGTCCCCTGCATCGGCAGGCGGACTCTCAACCACTGTGCCACCAGGGAAGCCCCATGGACCATCTTTGAATTCTTATCAAAACAACCAAGCCTCAGTCAGACCAATCCTCATATCAGTCAACACCACAGGGATTTAGTCAGAGTAATACAAGATATAGGAAACTACATGGAGTCAATAGGGGGAGATCTTAGTAATTTTTAAAAAGACTGAGGATTGCAATCCCTATCAAAGTTCCAACAGTGGTGTGGTTTGGTTTTTTGGTTTGTTTTTGTTTGTGGTGTTTTGTTTGTTTGTTTTTTAAAAAAATGGAAAGACCTATCCTAAAATTCATATGGAATCTCAAGGGACCCTGAATGGCCAAACAATCTTGAAAATGAAGTACAAGATTGGAGGGTCACACTTCCCAATTTCAAAGCTTACTACAAAACTACATGAATCAAAACAGCATGGTGCTGGCATGTAGACCAACAGAATAGAATTGAGAGCTGAGAAATAACTCACATCTGTGGTTCATTAATATTTCCACAAGAGTGCCAAGATCATTCGTGAGGGGAGAGCGGTCTCTCCAACAAATGGTGCTGGGAAATTGAATGTGCACATGAGAAGAATGAAGGTGGACCCTTACCTTACACCATGTACAAAAATGAACTCAAAATATAGGGACAGATATTCTTGGATTCGGCAGTGGTTTCTTAAATGTGACACCAAAAACAGGCAACAAAATTTAAATAAATAAGTTGAACTTCCTTAAAATTAAAAACTTTTGTGCATCAAAAGGTACTACCAAGAGAATGAAAAGGCAGCTCACAGAATGGGAGAAAGTATTTGCACATCACATATCTGACAAAGATTTGCTATCTAGCCAGAATATGTAAAAAACCCTTACAATTCAGCAACAAAAAGACAACCACATTCAAAAATGGGCAGAGGCAAGGGGGAGGGATGGCATGGGAGTTTGGGGTTAGCAGATGCAAACTATTATATATAGAATGGATAAACAAGATCCTCCTACTGTATAGCACAGGGAACTATATTCAGTATCCTGTGATAAACCATAATGGAAAAGAATATGAAAAAGAATGTATATGTATAACTGAATCACTGTGCTGTACAGCAGAAATTAACACGACATTGTAAATCAACTATACTTGAATAAAATAAATTTTTTTAAAATAAAAATTTCAGAACCAGAAAAAAGGAGGCAAAGCATTTGAATAGACATTTCTCCAAAGAAGACATACAAATGGTCAATCAACATATGAAAAGATGCTGACCATCCTTAGTGGGGAAATGCCAATCAAAATCACAATGAGATACCACTTAACACCCGCTAGGATGGCTATTATCAGAAAAAACAGAAAATAAGAAATGGTGAGGATGTGGAGAAATTGGAACCCTCATACACTGCTCTTGGGAATGTATAATGGTTCAGTCACTGGAAAACAGTTTGGCCATTTCTGAAGAAGTTAAACATAGAATTTATCATATGATGCAGCAGTTTTACTCTTAGATATATACCCCCAATTGTGCAAACAAGAACTCAAACAGATACTTGTACATTTAATTTTAATAGCATTATTCACAATAACAAGAGTGGAAACAACCCAAGTGTCCATCGGCAGTTGAATGGGTGAACAGAATGTGCTGTGCTGTACACATGTGGTGTTATATTATTCAGCCCTAAAGAGGAATTAAGTTCTGACACAGTGCAACACGGATGACTGTGAGAACATGTGCTGAGTTTAAACTTGACTACGTGTTAAGACATTTAAGGAGTCGTTAATATTTGCAGTGGCGAGAGAGTTTTTTAGGACATTTTAAAGAGCCACATCTTGAAATATTTATGGATAAATGAAATATGGGATTTGCTTTCAAATAATCCCACTAAGGGGTGGAGGGCTGGAAGTTGGGAGGCATGTGTGGCTGAGACCAGAATGGAGGCGAGCAAGCTGATGTCACTTGCTGTAGAGCAGGTTACCTGGGGGCTCACGGGGCTCTTCTCTCTGCTTTGTTTATGGTTAAAATTGTCCAAATAAAAACTTTTTAAAGGTAAAAATAGACCCAGGTCATCCACGCCTTTCCCATCGTCTGCCTGCGCGAGGTAGGAGGTGTCCGAGTGGCGGATTGACCTGGGTGTGCCTCGTTACAGGACCACGTGTTCCTGTGTGAGGGAGAGGACACACTGGACCTTAGAGGTGAGCTTATTTTCTGTCCCTTCCCTGGGGCCCACGCTTTGCAGAGGCCACTGGTGGGTGGGGAGGGAAAACCTGGTGCCCCCACAGCCTGCTGGTGAAGACAGCAGAGTTGTGATTGCGGGAGGGTTTTGTGTTGGAAGGAGGCAGGGGAAATGGGCTCAGTTACTTCTGGTGACAGCATTCCCACTTTTCTGCACCTCCTGTCAGTGCTGGTCAGCCTGGGCCTAAGGCCAAGGCGTCCTCTTCTAGAAGCTCATCTCATGTAGTGAAGGGCAAGGGTCCAAAGCCTTCAATGAACTTGTGACCAAGGGCAGCGCTTTCAGACCTGGCAGAAGAGAGGGCGTGAAGGAGGGGAAGACGGGGGCGGGGAGGGGGGCGGTGAGGAGGAGCAGTGCGGGGCTGTGGTAGGGGCGGGGCTCCCCCCTGATGGATCGCTCCGCAGTGAGCCACCCCACTCGTGGGCTTGGGTGTCAGGCCTAGTCAGTCCCCCATTGTCCTCTGAGCTGACTGCAGGCACTGATTTCTGCCTTCGGGTCACCATTTCCCTTTGTCGATTAGGAAGAGATGGGAATTTGTTCATTCAGAAAGTCCAGAGTAACCTTGCCTTGCCTTGCTGGGCCCCTCACTTAAGACGAGCTCACTTTGAGGATGTTTCCTTTTCATACTTGAGGTGGGATGGAGGGGAGGGGAGTCCAGCAAGCAGTGTGGAGATAACCCCTCAAGGATTTTTCCAAGCATGTTTCAGTACAAGCCTGGCTTCAGCCCAGCCCTGGGGCAGGCAGAACCTGCTCTGCTTTCACATTTCCCTGGACGGCATGCCCTTGCCCGTTGGGTGGCAGGCAGCCTCTAACAGGACGCTGTGCTGACTTTGTCCCGCAGCCACAGCCAGCGCCTCCCCCAGACAAGAGCCGGGTGAGCCAGGTGGCCCGAGAGAAGCAGCCCGCGCCCAGGAGCCTGCGCCCACCGTTGACAGCCATGAGCCCAGGCTGGGCCCGAGGCCTCGCTCCCACAACAAAGTCCTGAACCCGCCTGGAGGCAAGTCCAGCATCTCCTTCTACTAAGATGCTGCTGCGTCCCCCATAGCCAGACAAGAAACTCGAGAGATAGGATTTCAAAATTATAGTTTCTTTAGCCTGAAGGAGCGGGGTGGGGAGAGGGTCTGTTGGGTGGACACCTGAAGCTGCTGCTCCGGCTCCACTGCCATCACGAGAAGCCGGAGACCTCGCCTCCCAGAAACCAAGGGAGGAAACGTGATCCCTGGTGTGAGAGGAGCTCTCGGGTGGGTGGGCAGGGAGGTGGTGCCAGGCAGGTGCGCCTGAGGTGTGGGGTCTTCACGTCCTTGGTGTGTTGGCTAATTGGGTATCTAGGAGTCACTAACACAGTAGCAGAGTTTAAAGCCTTTGAGAGAAATCCAGAAACCACGTGTCCGTTACTGTGGGATAGAAGAGCAAGACACGCTGAAACCCTAGTGGGGTGGGGAGGGTGGGTATCTGGATAGACCCCTCAGATCCTCATGCTGTTTACCCTTCATGGACACGGTCTCTGTTTCTGGGACTTCGGCCCCAGTGTTTTTCACTTCAATTCCACAGATTTTCTTGAAACATCTTCATTGCTTTTCCTCAGCAGCTGTCAACAAAAAACCAAAATGTTGTTCTCAGTCTGATGCTTTATGGAAAGATTTTGTACCCTGATCTCCCAAGGTGCCCCGCTTCTGCCCTCTCAATCCTTGGCCAGATCTTATGTAGAAATCTCTCCCTTTCATCCACGAGAGACTGGTTTTGGGCTCTTTACAGGCAGTTTTGCTTGTGAATTGTTCCTTTTTTCCTCATCAGCCTTAAGTCTAGGCCTTTGCACCTCACCAATGATGTGGACAGTTCCCTTCACCAGCAACACTTCCTATCTACAAGGCCACTAACTTCTATAGGACTTTGAAACTACCCAGATATATCCAGGTAATGGGATTATTTAACTCCTTCATGTGTCTTCATTTATATTCCTGCTGACAGTGGGAAGAAGAGATGCTTGAGAACCGTGGGTTCTTAGGTTTGGGTTCTGTCATAATAGCTCAAGACCTGTTCTCAAGTACCAGCTTTACATCAGTAACTGTTGACTCTGGTCTGTTTCTGACACCTTTCTAGAAAAAGTCTGTTGCTCAGGTACACCAAAGAGGAAGGAAAGTGTTCTTAGGCCACCCTTTATAAAGCTTTGCAGAACCTCTGGATCATATTCACAGTTTCCAGACGAGTCTTAGAGACCTTAGGCCAAGAGATTAAATAGTTTGGCAGTAAAGTCTCAACTGGCCCATTCCATGGTATTTGCCAGCAAAGATAATGGGCTGGCAAGAATCGTGGTGCTGTAATCTGTCAGGTGGAAGTTTCTCCCATTGAGCCTCTAAAGGGCTACGGTGTCGGTTCCTGTACTGCAGTCACATGGGACCAACAGTCTGGGTTGGAGCTACTGGTACGAGTGCCTACAAAGCTAATGCAGGTGCTAAAAATGTCTTCATCGTTAAAATGTAGTCACACTTCTAGTGGCCTGGACGCTCAAGTGCCTGCAGGAGCTCCCTGCCAAGCTCCACATCCTCCACGGGCGCTGGGGGGGTTCACACAGTGCTTTGCCAAGCAAAGACACTTTGCTTTTCTGTCCCCCTGCTGACTTTGGAGCCAAGAAACACTGATTCTATGTGACTCTCAAGTCTTCCTATCTCCTCCATCCTTCAGATGGTCATTTATAGGAAAGTTGTCTGGAATTCATTTTTTTCCACATTAAAAAATGTCATAAATGGTGGTTAGCTTTTAAGCTCAAACACACTAACTTATTTAACTTACAATAAGATGTTCCAAAGGTAGAAATGAACTGCTATTTATAACTTTTTTTTTAATATACAAGAAAATGATTTATGAATTCCAAATTGGATTGCCAAGAAGACCCTGACATGCTGCTGGCCCTCGGGGCTTCAGTCTCACCGTCAGTTATATGAGGGGAAGAGCTTTCTAGATCTGTCCCCTGGCAGGGACTTCCGGAGCAGAGCTGGGGTTAGAGGCCTGGGGGAAGGAGGAAAACAACTAGAGCAGAGCCTCTGGGCAGCAGTGACCACATCACCTTATTTTTGTTCCCATCTTCCCTCTTCCTTTCCCTCCTTGGGGCCGTGGGCATGGATTTAGAGAGCCCCGAGCAGTCTGGTCACTGGGAGGAGCAGCAGAAAAGTTTTTGCTCGTTTGAACCTGATGGGGGAGGCCACTTGGAAAATGCTCTGTACATTGGGGACTGCCTGTATTTGGAAGCTTCATTAACTCTTAGAATCCTTTTCTCAACCTCCAAGCTGCATTGAGAAATTACTCATCTGTATTTTTATTAAGCCTTAAAACTTTATGTGCATTTGGTGCCAACTTTTTGTAAAGCTGTATCAAAAACAACAAACCTGTGCTCACATCTCGATGTAACTTTGAGAGGAGCATTCTGTTATTTTTACAAGGGAGGAGTGGGTGTAGCCGTTGAATTAAACTTAGCAGTCACGTACTCAGTCTTTGCCTATTGGTTGTGTGCACAGTGTGTGTGCATGCGGGTGGGTGGGTGGACATGTTCACGTGTTTCCTCCACGTCCATTCTCCAGAGTGCCTGAACTCTGCTCCTTCCCTTACAGCTTTTCATTGGTTGATGGGGTTTGCCTTTTTTTTTTTAAAACTAGAAGATGCCAAAATTAATCTTCTCAAAGTTTATGGATTTAAGGTTTTTTCATTTGAAAACCAAAGACTTGGCTTTGAATAGAATGGACAGGAATGTGGCAGTGTTCTTTTAGTTTACGTAAATTGAAGGTAATAATTCTTTTTTCACTTAACACCACTTGTTTTCCTGAAGAATTTGCCTCTGAGTTGACTTTGAAACTTCCACGAAAGCCTGACAGTGAGTAGATGAAATGCTGAGCTATTAGAATCTGCCTATAGATTCAGGTCCTGTAGAGAAAGCATAGATTTTTCTTCTTTCTTATATATTAGCTATTTTCATATGTCCTACAAGCAAACTTAATATCTTTATGTGTGTTAAGTGGACTCAGGGTGATGGAGCTTCTCAGACTGCCTGCCTGGAGAGCTCCACTAGAGGAGGCTTCCTTCTAGAAGACTGCTGCATCAGGGCCAACTAACTGGACAGCACTTCAGAAGGAAACCCAGCATGGGTGACCTGACACTGTCTTCACTTGTTCATCTGAGAGCATGTTCCCAGAACTGGGCTAGGCACTGGCACCAGTACATCACCTATTTGTAGCAGCTGCTCCAGCTGCAGGCAAGCACTGAGGTTTTGGAGTGTCACAGCCTGTTTGTCTCCAGAGGTCAGGCAGTGGCTGAGTCAGAGGAGCAAGGTGGGCTCCCCTGCATTATGGTGAAGAAGTGGAAGACATCTAAGGGTTCCCTCTTCAGGGCCTGTGCCTTGTCCAGAAATACACGGCTCTTTGGACAGAGCATAACTTGTTCTAACATCTTTGTGAGTTGAACCCTGCAAGGATGTCTACACCTCCTCCTATATTATCCCGTTTGTTTCTTCTGAACTCGTTATATTCTTAATCCTTAGCGTTCTTGGAGCTCATGAATGAAATCTTCCTGTTGTGTGTGTGACTACAAAGTGCTATCTAAACTTGAACTTAGGAAGAAATGAGGGGGACATTACAGGGACCTAGGTGAGTTTTTAGCAGGCATTAGGGGAGGATACTTCGAAGTTAAAGTATTGATAGAACTTTTGAAACCTGTGTGCCCAAATTACATTTTAGGGTCTTGTAATGAGAAAGAGAAAAAGTTGAATAGCGAATTATCTTTACAAATTGTAAAGGAAGCAAGTTCTAATTCAGTTAGCTTGAGCTCTCAAGAGTGTACTAGTGTTCTTCAGTAAGCATCAAGAATTATCCAGCATATCATTTTGTTAAAACTCCTTTTTCTTTAACCAGTTCCAAGTAACAAATCTGCCCATACATGTTAGTGGTAAAAACTAATAAAGTTGATGACAAGTCAGTTGGCCTCTGACTGTGGTAGTGGTGGCTGGCTTACTGTATTCGCTATTTTAGGAATTGAAAAGGGGCCATATTTCTTGGAACGGCTTAGAGCAGAAGTCAGAAACATTCCCCAAAACATTCACCAGCTTTCTCTGTAACTTGCTTACCAGAAGAAATTATATATTTCATGTTTGTCCTGGCTTATTTTGAGAATATAAAACAAGTCTATATTGCATGCTTACTATTTGCTAGAGATTGTACTAAGCCTCTTTTGTGATCTTCATAGCACTCCTAGTAGGTTGGTAATGGTTTTAGGCTCAGTTTTACAGTTAGCTAGGATCAAAACCCAGGCAGTCTGAATGTGAGACTGAAACCTCAGATCGTCTCTTAGTGGGGTGGATGAGCATCCATACAGCACAGTACATTGCAAGGGGAAAATTGTGCAACAGTATTTAGGGCATCACCTGCAGGAACGTTCATTGGTGCAATCAGGTTAGGATGAACTCCCCTTGAAGCATCGCATCAGGTAAAAGGCAGGGGTAAGAGCATTTCTGTTAACACTAAGCTGTCACTCATGGGTTTATGATCAGGATTCATGCCACCTGTGTGGCCCCCAAAGCTGAAAGTGTAAGTCTTAGATTCATGGTGTCCTCAAGATACCAGAGAAAGAAAATGCAAATCAACTGGCTAAAAGTGGAAGAAATAAGGGCCTACCAAAACTGGTAGAATATAAGAAAGTCAAACAGGACAAATGGAAATTAAAAATATAACTGTTGAGGGACTTCCCTAGCAGTCCGGTGGTTAGGACTCTGCGCTTCCACTGCAGGGGGTGCAGGTTCCATCCCTGGTCAGGGAACTAAGATCCCACATGCCGCGGGGAGAGGCCAAAAAAAAAAAAAAAGTTGAAATAAAAAACTCAGCGTAGAGGTTAGACTACACATAGCTGAAGTGAAACTGGTAAATTTGAAGAAGTTACGCAACATCAGGACACAGAAGTGGACCAAGTGAGAGTTTGTTACTGGATTTTAGGATGAGACGGGCAACTTGCATTTAATTGGAATCCCAGGAGGGACCATGGAAAGCACAGCCGCTCTGAAGGGAGCTCTGAGTACCTACTGTGTAGGAGTACATACTGCTGTGCAGTGAGGCTACAAAGGCAAGTCACATTTAACCAGGTCAGTATCGCGGTCAACTCCGGAAGGGAGGGAGGGGCGCACAAAGATAACGGCCATTTCTTTGGAGGGTAGGGTGGGCACACGGACGCTCGCTTAAGTCTAAACCGTACGAAGTCATTTGTATATACTTAGGACATAACGTTGTCACTTTGTAGAAGTCCACGCCTGCGTCGTGGGAGCTGGCAGACAGCTGCTCTGATGAGCCTGACCGGAAGTGCTCCCAGCCCCGCTCGGCCGAGCTTCTGGCGCGGGGACTGGCTTCTTCCTACGTTAGGACCCCTGCGACCTCTAGCGGCGTGACGCCGCGGGGCTCCGGCTGGACGGGCGGGCACCGCCCCCGCTGTCTAGGGGGCGGGACTTCCGGGCGGCGGGACTTCCGGCCGCTGAGCGACGGGCGCAGCATCAGCATCAGTATCAGCTGGCGGCGGCTGAGGCGACAGCGGCTGCGGCGCAGGCAACGGGCCGCGGCCTGCGGACTACGGGCAGCCGGAGCGGGCGGGCGCGCCGGCGGACAGCAGGCCGCGCTGGCGGCGGCGGTGGCCGCGATGATGGAGATCCAGATGGACGAGGGCGGCGGCGTGGTCGTGTACCAGGACGACTACTGCTCTGGCTCGGTGATGTCGGAGCGGGTGTCGGGCCTGGCGGGCTCCATCTACCGCGAGTTCGAGCGCCTCATCCACTGCTACGACGAGGAGGTCGTCAAGGAGCTGATGCCACTCGTGGTCAACGTGCTCGAGAATCTGGACTCGGTGCTCAGCGAGAACCAGGAGCACGAGGTGGAGCTGGAGCTGCTGCGCGAGGACAACGAGCAGCTGCTCACCCAGTACGAGCGGGAGAAGGCGCTGCGCAAGCAGGCCGAGGAGGTGCGTGGGCCGGGAGGCGCCGGGGCCCCTCCCGGGGACCCCAGTCCTTCCCGGCCCGGGGACCCCGCCCTTAGCCCCCGCCCTGCCCGGGCCCCAGCTCACGCCCCGCCCATCCCACCAACGCCCCCGACGCCGAGCCCGGCCCAGGGGCTGATGCCTGGCTCCCACATCCTCCTGGCCTGCTGCTCCAGCCAGGAACCCTAGCCCTGAACCACCTGGCGTCACTGGGGGACCTTGCATCCTAAACTGCCTCAGGCCTCCGTCTCCCCTCCATACCCACTTCTCATTGCAGACGCCAGTTCTTTTTGCTTTTGTGTGTGTTTTTCCGCAAACGTGTCCTAGACCCCAGTTACAACTTCTGGTTGCTGCAATTTTAATTTTAATTTTAAACCCTTCCAGAAAGGGGATTTCTGATCTTCTTATGGTTCTGCAGCCAGAAGAGGTGTTGTCAGATCTTTGCCTTATCCCTAATCCAATGTTTTGACGGTCTGTGACATGGGTGAATTTGGTGATTGAGGTAAACACATTACCAAAGCCACAGTTAGGCTGCTCCTCTGGCACCAGGTGAAAGACTCCAGGTTTCCGGAGGTGATTTCTTTGCCCTGTGGTTCCCTCCGTTGGGAATATTGTTAGCTTATGTGGACAATGCTGAGAAATTCCACTGTGGCTTCTGAGGAGTTAAAAGTAGAATTTTGAAGTACTTGATCGTGTTTTAGGATACCTCCATAACCTGGAAATCACTTATTTGTGAACCAGTTAGAAGAACCATGCATTGCAGGGAATACCACTTACCTTCATTCATTCACTATGAAATATTTAGCCCTGTTGTCAGACCCAGGTGGATTCAGGGGACCTGGGTTCTCATTCCTGCCTTGCCTTTGTGACCTTGTCCATGTCGCCTGCCCCCCTCTGGATTTTGATTTTCCTTCAGTCATATGAGTCAGTTGCCCTAGATGATCTCTAAGCCCTGACATTCTGTTGTTCCAGGCATTAGGTGATGGCTTTTTGGTTTATGAATGGGAAGTTTCTTATTAAATGAGCTAAATTCCTTTTTAACTAATTTGGATTAACACATTCTTGATTTTAGTATTGAAATGGAAGACTGTTTCAGTATTTTGGCTTTTTCTTAAGCTAGGGCAGTTTATGTTCTCCTAGTTTGGTTTAAAGTATGTTTATAAAAATTAAGAGTGCCTTGTATCGTTCCTACTTACGGTGGTTTACGTTGATCTTGGGTTTTTTCATTCATCTGTCAAGAGGCTCTTGCCTATTGATTGGGGTGCCAGGCTCCACCAAAACTGATTTAGAGCTCTCAACTTAAGGGAGATGCAAGAGCTCGTAGGATTTTAGAGTTCAGAGTGGCCATAGGCATTTACTAGGGAAAGAACTGGCCGCAAGAAGGAGTGGGGGTGGACCAAGGTCACATGCTCTAGAAGAACCAGGCCAAGACGCAGTCTACCCTGACCCCTGGAGTGGGCTCTCCGTTCCACTGCTGTGGGAGGTCAGAGAGTGTACCCCCAGAAGACGAGCTCTGGGGCTCCCCTCACTGGCCGTGGGGCAGTGGCTGCCTCCCTCATGCTGGGCAGCACCTCCCACTTCTCTGACTGCTCTCAGCGGCCATTTGATGCCTAACTGAGGTTTTGAGTAGGTTTGTTTTCTTTCACTATGTACCGATGTGGTCAATATAGTGGACGAGAAGGAACTAAAAGGAGAAAGATGGACAACCTTAAGGCTAAGAATCATAACCATCTACCTTAAAAATTTGCTCTGCGTGGATGAAGCCCCTGCTCTGCTCTGCATGGTTCAAGTGCAGCCGCAAGCGAGTGTGGTTCTGGCCTCCCACTTACGCCCTGGACTAAGAGCTGAGGGTGCGCATGTGGTATGGAGGAGAGTGCCCTGGAGGCCGAGACCCATCCTTGCCCCAGCTATTAAGAGATGCTGAACAGAGAGCCACAGAGTGAACAAAACGCTCGGCTGGCCGGCATAAAGGCTGTGATTTGATGCTAAATAGTATGCCCTTGGAGAGACCTCATGTGATGTTACAACCAAGAAAAGGGCCAAAATCTGTAACCATTTTGGTATTCTAGCTCATTTACTAAATCCAGTAGACATTCATTTTCAGTTTTGTGGAAAAGACCAGTGTACACTGTGGCCTGGCTTCTTTTTCCACACAGGGCATGAGATCCTAGATGTGTGTCTGATAACACGGGAGGCTGAACAGCATGGGCTGCAGGCGTGTGCGTGATGCAGAGTAGCTTCTGCCTCCCCGGCCACTCTGCTCAAGAAGGCTTAGTCAGAGCTGAGTAACCTGAGCCGCCTGCAGCCTTCCTAGCACACAGAATCTGCAGATTTAAAAAGAAAGAGCCTTGAGCAGAGCAAACACCTCTGCCCGCTACATCTTGCCTGTAATAACCGCAGTGAGAGATTGCGAGTCTGTTCTGGTCCCAGGGTGACTCTCTCGATGGGAGTGACGGTAGCTAGAGGTGGTGGGGTCCAGGGAGGGGGGCCAGGCCCCAGAGTTTGCAGATGCTTGAGTGTCAGCCTTGCCTTTGGGAGCTGCACACCCTGTGACCAGTCTTCCCCTCTCTGGCCTCACTGGCCGCTTCTGTAAAGTGCGTGGGTTGCCAGACGTGGCAAGTTTCTTTCATCTCAAGTGCCAAGTCCCGTGATGGGCTGTTGTTTGCCTGGAGAATTGCAGCAAGGCAGATCTAGCCAAGCCAGGGAAGAGCACCTTGATGGGGCAGCCACGGGTGGCAAGCGTGGGGCATCTCAGTCTCTGTGCGGGTTTTATGCTTGTCATCGAGACCAGTGAGTCCCGCTCAGACTTGCAGAGCTAAATGGATGTTGCTGGCTTCTAAAACCTCTACAGAGACCTTAAAAATGCTGAAACTGTATCCAATACAAAGTTTTGAAAACCCACTGAGTTCTTTCCCATTAGAAAAGAAGGTTGGAAATGGGCATTTGACCAGGATGGCCGGGACCGA